TTTTGTTCCGACTTTCGTAACGGAAGTAAAAGAATATTTGTGCATCGCGTGGGTTTTTTTTCTTCAGACAAATTTCGACTTTTTGACTAGCCATTTTTGACAGAATTTGTTTTTGTCATTCAAAAGGTATTTCTATCTTGAGCTTAAATTCGAAAAGATATTTTACCTCTGATCATTTTTCGCAAAGTTGAGAGGGTTTAAAGATTGCCTTTTAATCCAATTTGGGACAATTAACGCGCAATATATTTCGCGCAATTAACGCGTAAGCCAGATTTAATCCTTCTTGAAAATCGTTCCAATTTAGTTTTTAGGAAGCTTAACTGCCATAATTGATTCGAAATCATTTTGTAATCTAACTAATGTGAGGGGGAATGATTTTCACATGAAGCTCAAATTAAAAAAAAAAACAATCAGTTTTATTTGTTCTGACTTTCGAAAAAAACGGAAAATTTATGCTCGGGGTGTTTTGTTCATTGAGTAAATTTTCAACAAAACTTTTTTATACCCGATTGATAATTCAACTTCCTGAGTTCAAATGTAAAAAGATATTTCACCCCCGATATTTTTTGTGTAGTTCTGGGGTGACAATGGCAATACGTTTTGGCTGATTAAGATTCCAATTTCAAATCGTAGTTTTGTTGTTGCTTTTAAATGATTTATTTTTGATTTTTGAGTTTTGAGTCTTTCAGTTTACTAATTTGGCGGCATATTCATGTCAACAAATGTGGCAAAATTAGGTTCGGCAAAGAATAAAGTTCAAATGTCGTAGACATAGCCGGGCCCATCTGCAGGTTGCAAATTAGAAAATTGTTCGTTGAAGCTGATGGTACGTCGTCGTTGATTGTAATGGTCATCTAGTTGTTAGCTGTCGTTGATCATGTTGGTCATCTAGTTGTTACTGTGGTCCAATACTCGCGAGAGTTTGACAGCTGGTCGGTGTAGAATCCCCCTGCTAGTTTTAATTTCGCAGGAGCGAACGATTCCGTCTGCACCTGGGAAAGTACGAAGTACCCGTCCCAGGGGCCAAAGACCTCGAGGCGTTAGGTCTTCCAGTATCCATACAAGGTCTCCTTGCTGAAGATTTTCCACTTGCTTTGTCCATTTTGTTCGGGTCGTCAAGGTTGGCAAGTAGTCTTTGAGATATCTGTTCCAGAACTGTTGACTCAAGGCTTGAGCTTGTTTCCAAGTTCTCTTGTCCGTTGTGTGGCGAGGGAGAAACAATCCGGGAGGCAAATTGTTTGTTGGTCGTCCTAGTAGAAGGTGATTGGGTGTAAGGGGCTCGTCGTCGGTTGGGTCTGATGAGACGTGGGTTAGCGGGCGAGAATTCATCATAGCTTCAACCTCGCACGTGAAGGTTGACAGAGTTTCGTCGTCAAGTGTCCGTGTTCCAATGACTTTGTAGAAGGCAATCTTAAATGATTTTATGAGGCGTTCCCATGATCCACCAAAGTGAGGAGCTGCAGGTGGGTTGAACTTCCAAGTTATTCCAAGTAATTGGCATTGATTGTTGAAGTCGTTGCTGTGTTGAATCTCAGAAAGGCTTTCCTGTAATTCCTTGTCAGCTGCAACGAAAGCTTTTCCGTTGTCAGAGAGGATTATCCAGGGTTTACCGCGTCTAGCAATGAAACGGCGTATGGCTTGTAGAGTTGAGTTTGTGCCGATTTGCTGGCAGATTTCTGAATGAACTGCTCGCGTGACGAGGCAGGTGAAGAAGAGAACGTATCGCTTACTGTACTCGTCGTTGTTCCGCGTGGCAAAGGGTCCAAAGAAGTCAATTCCTGTTGAGTAGAAGGGTTAACTGTTTTGCGATAAAGGGAGTCGTTGTAGGAGTAGATCTGCCATCAGAGGCTTCACTGGTTCCTGTCGAAGGCGTCGGCAAGGTATGCATTGTCGAATAGTTTTCTTCAGATGCTTGCGTGATCTTATGATCCAAAAGTCCTGCTGAAGAATGCTTTGGGTGTGTTCCATTCCACAATGGGAATTTATTTTGTGTGTTTGCTTCATGAAGAGTTGTATTGGGTAGTTTTCTGCGTTCAGAATGACTGGATGTCGGCTGCAAAGTAGAAGCGGGGTTTTCTGTAGTCGTCCTTTGGCACGTAAGTATCCGTGATCGTCGATGAAGGGGCAAAGAAGTTGTAGAGGGCTGCGGGGTGGAATGTCAGGCATGCTATTTCCTTGGGGAATGTTTGATTCTGTGAGTGTTTAATGATCCATGCGAATCCTAAGGTGAGGTGTTGAAGTGAGAGGCTCTGGCGTGTCTTCCTTTTGATGTTTTCTGCGAAGAGAAGAACATATGAAGTAACTCTGAGTGCTCTTGTCCAAGTGCTAAATCGGTTGAAGTCGATTACTGATGTTGGCGGTTGTGGGTCGTTGTTTGTCAGATGAATATCGGCTGTAGGTTGTGTTGGCGGGTGATTAGGCCAATCTGATGATGATCTAAACAAGAAGTCTGGTCCTTTGATCCATCGTGAATCGGTAGTCATGTCACATGCTTTGTAACCACGTGTTCCGTCGTCTGCAGGGTTGTCTTTGCTGGGCACGTATCTCCAGTCCAGTGGAGATCTTGAGTCCATGATGAAATTCAGGCGGTTGACAATGAAGATCCGGTGTCGTTGATTCGGCGAGTTTTTCCAATGAAGAACTGTTGTACTATCTGTCCATAGTGTCGTACTGTCGATTCGTATGTCATGTTGTTCTTTGATGAAACGAGACAGTTTAGCTCCGTTAGTGGCGGCTTGAAGCTCGAGATTTGGAATTGTCATTCTGCTAATGGGTGCTACTCGGCCTTTTCCAATGACGAACTTGAGTTCCGTTGTGACGTCGTCGTATCTGATTCTGAGGTAAGCAACTGATGCTAAGGCAAGTTCGGAGGCGTCGCTGAATACATGGAGTTGGGTTTCCAGTATCTTCGTTTCTGGTTTGAAGTAAATCCGGGGCAGGCAGATGTCGTTGAATTAGCTTCGCTTGTCTATCCAATCGTTGAGGTCTGTTAAATGCTCCATGTTTAGAGGTTTGTCCCATTGAGGTCCATTACTCCAGGCAAGTTGAAGTGATTGTCGTAGTCGAATTGTCAGTGGCATCGTAATTCCAAGCGGGTCAAAGATTGAAGAAGCAAACTTCAATAGTTTGCGCTGCGTTAAGTCCTTCTTGTCAATGGCGTGAAACTTCTTTGCTTCCACAAGAAAGACGTCCGTGTCTGGTTTCCATTTCACTACAAGAACTCTTTGGAGGGGTCGTTCCTTCTTGGTGAGGCTGTCGCTGTTTTCCAAGTGGTTCTCGTTGACTGTTGTGAGGAATTGTTGAGAGCTTGAGGTCCATTTTGTGAGGTTGAAACCTCCAAGGCTGAACATCCTTTGAAGGTCGTTCATTAACTGTGTCGCTCATCAATTATAATCTCTCTTTTTAAAATCAAAATATAATTAATTATAATCAATTATAATCGATTATAAAAGATTATAATCTCTTGGAAAATATCACGATTATAATCAATTATAAATCCCTTAAAGACCTAATTTTGGTAATTATAATCGATTATAATTGTCAAAAAATCATCATAATAATCCGTTATAATCGATTATTTACGCCTAAACTTGGATGCGGGAATTCACCAAAATTTATTTAAGTTAAAAAAATTATTAACTGAAAAAAGGACAATTTGTCGTTGAAATGGGATACCGTTACTCCGATCAGTATCCTTAAACTCGCCGTCAATTTTTGCAAACTTTAATTATTTTATTTAAAATATAGCAACACTTAGTCTGAATTTGAAGTTAAGTCTAAATGCGAAACATTTAAGAGCGTACACCTTTTCGGCAAAACAGACTCGTTGACTCGCGGATCTAGGAATTTCTCGAGGGGGGGGGCAGATTTTTAAAATAAGTTTGAAAATTTTTTTTGACCTTTTTTTTAGTTGACCAAAATGATTTTCTGAGCTACCCAAAACCACTAGAAAGACCATAATTTGACCAAATTTTCTGCGCCACAGGCAAATTTTTGAAAAAAGGCGTTTTTAGGCACTTTTTTTGAAAATTTCGACCAAAAAATCGCGTTTTTTCGGCGCCCCTCCCCCCTCTAAATTAGTATAGATTGGCGCCAAAGGCGCCTTTAGAAAAATTTTAAGGTCAGTTAGCCAAAAATGGATATCTCAAAATAGTGCAAAGGGGGGACCCTTTTGGTCGGCAGGCGGTCTGCCTCTTCCCCCCAATCCGCTACTGCTCGTTTTCATTCAACACGCAATTATCAATCGGTGTTATTTTCTCCAGTATGATGTTTTTAGTTTACGATTAATTGGCAACTTGAAGTTGAAAAACATCTGTCAAGTATCCTCAAGATTATGCTTCTGTTAGATCTTCAGAAAAATTGGCCGTGTTCAAAAGTGTAATCAGCATATTCATTTTCCTGTATGTTTTCTATTCACATAATTAATGGTTTCAAATTTGAGAAGAAGTCTTTCAAAAACACGCGAACAGACAATAAATATGCGGCCCTGAAGTGGTTTAATACCAAATTGATATTCTAAGAAAACATTGGATGTTTTTCATTAGATACGTATAGTAATAGTGACGGATAAAGGAGTGTCTCAGGGGGCGGGATGTTGATTTTCAAATGTTCTGTTCAGATCGATAAAAATTAGAAACAGAAATGGATGCTAAAAATAAGCAGAATAGTAGCAGGTTACACAAGTGCGAATAAGGATTCAGCGTGAAACTCTATTGGGACCACTTTTGTTCAGAGATTCCTTGGGTGGTGAGGGCAAAGAGTTCTCCAATGATGGGGCTTGCATCCTCGTTCGAATAAATCCGCCTTTGAGGTGGAGCGCATCTGATTTTTTCTTGTACTCATTCCTGTAGAACTGCCAAAAACTAGGTAAAAAATGTAATACAAACTCTGTTCTCGACAAATCTTTTTTCTCAGAATTTTGCATTGCCATTTCATGAACACTTCATTAGATTTTTCACAAGTTTCTTATCATAATTTATTAGCTGTATTTCTATGTTTCCATGTTTCCTGATACTGTATTCGCAAGTGAAGTGATGGAGATGGGAGAGTGTTTCAGGTCCTGGGCATCTCTGAACCCCAGCTCTAAGAAGTACTTCACTGTGATCGATGACGTCAATCTGAACCAGATCCCAAATGTTCTGTTTTCGTCTTCTTATTTTAAGGTATATTTCCATAGCCCCACTTTATCAGGAAATTTGTTCTTAGACTGGTTTTTTTGGTCCGACTTTCGTAACAAAATTAACCGAATATTTGTGCTCGGGGTGAGTTTTTTTTCTTCAGACAAATTTCGACATTTTAACTAGCCATTTTTGAAGGAATTTATTAAGTATTGTTGTCCTGAGCTTAGACTTGAAAATATATCTCGCCTGGGATCGCTTTTTGTAAGGTTATAGGGGCTTAGAGATTGCCATTTTGGCCAATTTGGGACATTTAACGCGCGACATATTTAGCGCTATTAACGCGTAAGCGGAGAATTAATCCGTCTAATAAATCGTTCCAAATTGGTTGAAGGAAGCCTATTTACCGGTTACATGTCATTTTTCCCCAAGTCAACTTGTCCCAGCCCAACTTGTCCGATTCCAACTTGCCCCAGATGACAACTTGTCCAATGCCATCTTGTCCCATATAATAAAAAATGAAATTTGCCCCATTTCTTTGATATCCTCGTAGAACATAATGTCGGCAAAAAGATGAAAGACTTTTTTGTTGAACAATTAAACTTGAAACAAAATGCGGAATCATTTAAACATGCGCTGAATCAAAATGAGTTCAAAGCATGCATGAACAAAATGAAAGCGGCAAAATTTCAATGCAATTTTCATGTCGAGTTAAATATTTCAAAAGATTGATTGCTAATTTTGTAAGATTCTATAGCATAGTTAATAGTGCACAACACTCATAATCAAGAAGTTAAGAGTTCAAAACTTGAAGAAGTCAAAAAATTTTAGTATGAAATCGACGAAATGGAAAACCGCAGGTACTGCCTCGCCCCTTAAACCCCCCTATACTGGGTAATCCAGAATAGGGAGCGGGATGAGGGAAAGAGCAAAATTATTGCAGTATTGGCCTTTATCATCTCTCAATATTTGGAACCTGTACGATGGCTATAATTTAAAAAAGTGGTGATTTTTTAAAAATCAATTGAAAATGCAACAAAATGCCGACAATTAAGTGGAAATTATGCCGACAATTTAAAAATTACGAAAGAGTTAAATGAGCTAGTGCATATAAATAGTCAACAACATGGTCTTTGTTGAAATTACTAGAAATGTTTTTGATTTTTCCATGAATGTCCCGATATTTCTTCCGCCCTTGATTCTGTGTTCCCCCCATAGCCTTCAAAATGTTGAACTTCTGGTTTGCTGAGTCCATTTGAATCTGTTAACGCGTAAGCGGAGATTTAATCAGTCTTATAAATCGTTCAAAATTGGTTGAACGAAGCTCATTTGACACAATTTATTTGTTACTAGGACGAAATCTATCACTCTGGACTTTATGTGGCGTGTGGGGGGATGATTTTCACAAAAAATCTTATAATTGAAAAAAAAAATATTTTTATTCTGTTACATTTAGTTTGTTCATGTTTTATTACTTAACAGGTAGTCGGAACATTCAGGGCTTCGCCCTGATACCAACAGTCTTGCTTATGATTTCTCGTACATCAAAGCAAGTTCGTACGAATTATAATGTGGTCCTGGTTGTTTATCATAGCTTTTGTCATTATCAAAATTGAACGCAAAACTGTCAATATAATCGATATTGGAATTAAAATTCAGACGGCGATTCGAATGTATTGCCGAAATATCAGACTATTTAAAAAATAAATTCGATCCGCAAATTTACATCTATTTATAATTGATTTACCTCTTTTTTTTTAATACATAAAAAAATTAAATGAAATAAAATAAAATGAAAAATTTTTTTTCTAAAATTTGAAATTTTTTATGAAATCATCCCCCCACATGCCATATGAAGTACAAAAAGATAGATTTCGTTCCTCGTAACAAATCAATTATGGCAAATGAGCTTCGTTCAACCAATTTGGAACGATTTATAAGACGGATGAAATCTCCGCTTACGCGTTAACAGCGCGAATTATATTGCGCGTTAATTGTCCCAAATTGGTCAAAATGGCCAAAATGGAAATCTTTAAACCCTCATAACTTTACGAAAAATGATCACAGGTGAAATATCTTTTCAAATTTAAGCTCAGGACAACAATACCTTTTGAAAGATATAAAAAAATTCTGTCAAAAATGGCTAGTTAAAAAGTCGATCGAAATTTGTCTGAAGAAAAAAAAACCCACCCCGAGCACAAATATTCCGTTACTTCTGTATCGAAAATCGGAACAATAAAATGTTTATTTATCTTCAAATTTTTGTCGATTTTGTCGATTTTTGTTGAAGTTTTTCAGGTATTGAGAAAAATTGTTTCTATCTAATTTTGTTTGCTGGAACTGCCGTCATTAAATTTTTCATTTTCGGACTGTTTTGCGCTGAGTTTGTTTCTGGTATCGCAATATTGTTTTTCGGTATCAAAAGAAAGACATTTTTCAGCATCAAAAGAAAGACATTTTTCAGCAATCGAGAATTGATAAAGAAAGATGGTTTTCTTGAGTAGAGATGCATGTTTTTGATTTCAAGAAAACAACTAAAAGACTGATTTGTCAGTAATTCATTTACCAAACTTGAGACCAATTAAAGGGCCATCGGACATTCATGGCTTTACCCTGTTATAGCAGTCCTCTTGTTTTTACATTCAGAGCTGTTTTACAATGAAACCAGCGTATGGGTTTGGAAAACTTGCGAAGCAAGTATACGGGCACTAGACTAAAATGCAGTTGGCTGAACTGCTCGATTAATGTTTCATATTTTCAATAGGCGAATTGTTCATGAGTGGCAATTGATCTGAACTAATAATTGGGTTGGGCCAACTAGATGGTTATATTAATCTGCCTATAATTTAAGCATTTTATTTTGATATTGTTCAACAAAAAATGTTTGGGACCAATTTAGAGGTAGTCGGATCATTCGGGGGTTTGAAATGATATAGCAGTTTTTTTTTCTGTTTTATTATGTTTTCCATTAACTTTTTTGGTTTTGGGATCTTATTTGTTTGACCTTTTGAGCAAATTTTTTGATGATTTATGGCTTTTAGGCACTTCAATTGATATTTAGAAGACGCCGGAAAAGTGTTTGGTTCGAAATTCTCAGTCAATCAGAATTACGTAACCTTCAAGCAACACTAAAGCAAGCTAAAAACAGGCGCAGAAATTTGGATGTTAACTTAAGAAAAGCTCTATCTTCTGTGAATATGGCGCATTTCGCACCAAACACTTTACCCCATATTGTTATGGGAGTTTGAGTGGAAGATGTGCCACTACATGTAAGAGATGCAAAATGTGTGCAGACCATTTTATGCTAAACTTTTTCGTTATAACTGAAAAAAAAAATTTTTTTTGCTTCAAGTTACTTTTTTCGCAATCTAGAACAAGAAATTGTTGCGTGGGGTGTGTGGTGCTGGAAGTCTGCGGCTAGTGGCATTCACAGACAGGTACGGCTACTGTCCCGGAGAGACCATCTACATCACAGTCTCCTGCACCAATAACTCACTATTCACAGTCAGAAAAGTTGTCATCTCACTGCAACAGGTACTAACACGCCCACTACAAGAGTCGGATTTAGGGGGGGGGGGGGGTGGAGCACGGGGGGGGGGGGCGGAGGCGGCGGAGGTGGCGGACGCTACTATTCAGGGATTCGACCCCCTCACCATCCAAAGGTCCTCCCTCCCCTTTGGTATTATTTTGTGACAACCATTTTCGCCCGACCAGCCCTAAAACTTTTCTAAGGGTGCCGTGGGTGCCAATTATATAATAATTTTAAAGGGGAGCGCGCCCAAAAACGGCATGTTTGGCGTATTTTTTTTTTGAAAAAAAAAATTGTGAGAAAATTGTCGACCTTAGAAAATCGTCAACAAAAATTTTGAAAAGTTTTTGACAATCCGACCCCTCCCCTTAAAAAATCTCAAAAATTTTAATAAAATCGGAAACTTTTTTTTTGATCTTTCGTAGTTTTTTCTTCGAGCTCGAGTTACGCAAACATCTGCGGTCTGAAATTAATTTCAAGTACTATTTGCTACCAAACAGGGGCGGATCTAGGATTTTCTCGAGGGGGGGGCGGATTTTCAAAAAATTTTCCAAAATTTTGACGACCTTTGAAATTTTTGAAAAAACAATCAAAAAAGCCGTTTTTGGGCACTTCTTGAAAAATTTTGACAAAAAAAATCGCGTTTTTTTGGCGCGCGCTCCCCCTCAAAGTTAGTATATATTGGCGCCGAAGAAAAATTTTAGGGTCGGTCGGCCAAAAATGGATTTCTGAAAAAGTATCAAAGGGGGGACCCTGTGGGTCGGCAGGGGGTCGAATCCCTGAGGGGGGGGGGGGGCGTCCGCCCCCCCCGCGCCTTCCCTAAATCCGCCCCTGCTACCAAATATTTTGATAATTTTGACAAATTCGAAACAGGAGCTCATTTAATCAGGTGAATATTTTTTCTCAAACACTTGTTTTTTTGCTTGTTTCCAGGTAAAATGAATGATTTAAATAAAATAAACAGATACACGAAAATCCTAATGTTTTCCCCAGCTGGTGATATACACTTCATCGACTGGACATCGGAAGTGTCAGTGGAACTGTCTGCTGTCCTCCACAAAGGGGGGCTGCTCCAGACAGGGGGGAGTGTTTGGAGTGAGTCATCTGCCCCTCCACATTCCCTCCATCCCCATGACCTGTGGGGAACACACGTGCAGATGCATATCCACATCCTATTCCATAAAGGCAAGTCACAGTCAGAAAAGTTGTCATCTCACTGCAACAGGTACTAACACGCCCACTACAAGAGTCGGATTTAGGGGGGGGGGGTGGAGCACGGGGGGGGGGGGGGGGGCGGAGGCGGCGGAGGTGGCGGACGCTACTATTCAGGGATTCGACCCCCTCACCATCCAAAGGTCCTCCCTCCCCTTTGGTATTATTTTGAGACAACCATTTTCGCCCGACCAGCCCTAAAACTTTTCTAAGGGTGCCGTGGGTGCCAATTATATAATAATTTTAAAGGGGAGCGCGCCCAAAAACGGCATGTTTGGCGTATTTTTTTTTTGAAAAAAAAATTGTGAGAAAATTGTCGACCTTAGAAAATCGTCAACAAAAATTTTGAAAAGTTTTTGACAATCCGACCCCTCCCCTCAAAAAATCTCAAAAATTTTAATAAAATCGGAAACTTTTTTTTTGATCTTTCGTAGTTTTTTCTTCGAGCTCGAGTTACGCAAACATCTGCGGTCTGAAATTAATTTCAAGTACTATTTGCTACCAAACAGGGGCGGATCTAGGATTTTCTCGAGGGGGGGGGGGCGGATTTTCAAAAAATTTTCCAAAATTTTGACGACCTTTGAAATTTTTGAAAAAACAATCAAAAAAGCCGTTTTTGGGCACTTCTTGAAAAATTTTGACAAAAAAAAATCGCGTTTTTTTGGCGCGCGCTCCCCCTCAAAGTTAGTATATATTGGCGCTGAAGAAAAATTTTAGGGTCGGTCGGCCAAAAATGGATTTCTGAAAAAGTATCAAAGGGGGGACCCTGTGGGTCGGCAGGGGGTCGAATCCCTGAGGGGGGGGGGGGGCGTCCGCCCCCCCCGCGCCTTCCCTAAATCCGCCCCTGCTACCAAATATTTTGATAATTTTGACAAATTCGAAACAGGAGCTCATTTAATCAGGTGAATATTTTTTCTCAAACACTTGTTTTTTTGCTTGTTTCCAGGTAAAATGAATGATTTAAATAAAATAAACAGATACACGAAAATCCTAATGTTTTCCCCAGCTGGTGATATACACTTCATCGACTGGACATCGGAAGTGTCAGTGGAACTGTCTGCTGTCCTCCACAAAGGGGGGCTGCTCCAGACAGGGGGGAGTGTTTGGAGTGAGTCATCTGCCCCTCCACATTCCCTCCATCCCCATGACCTGTGGGGAACACACGTGCAGATGCATATCCACATCCTATTCCATAAAGGCAAGTCATCTCTACTGCTAACAAATACGGTTGAAACTTGTCGCAATTATTATAGAAACTCGAGAGGCTAGGGTCTATAGCGGGCATATAGAACTTATAGAGTCTGTAGAAAACTCAAAAATCAATGGTAAGACCCGTCAAGTTTTACAAAGAGCTCAAAAATGAAGACGTTCATATCTCTAGTCATAGATGGCATTGAATCCACTTTTGACAGATCCACTTTCTAAAATCACTTTTTATTAGTACCATTGCGGCCATGGTGAAGTTAGTATGTGTTTCAGATCAAGTTCCGGATCCGTAAGGGGCTGGCGTATACGGTTGATTTGCCAGTGGTGATCGGCAGCATACCAATCAGCATTTTTGCATCCCTCAAACACGGAATTATACATCGTAAGGATCGGAATCTGCTCAAGTTGGATCGGCTTTCCGCAGCAAAGAGCATTTTAAATAAATTTAATTTTGTGTGGCAACATTTTTTCAAAATGATACGGTTAAAATTTGAAAAAACATCTTAAAATGAATATCATCATAATAATAGTTTTTTAGCATTTATATTTTGAAGAGTTTCTTGATGGAAATCTTTCAAAAGTTGGATTTTTAATTGATTTTTTAGCCACGAAATTTAAACTAGTGTGTATGAAACTTGTGTTAATATTTATTTTGAAAAAAAAGCTGTCAGTTTTGAACACTTTCTGTCTGATTTTACCCCATCAGCCCGCCCCACCCACCTCGAATGTGCGATGAAGGGGGGTAGCATAGAGGACGATGATGACGTCACCAACGCATGTCCGGGAGACGCCTGTCAGTTGCACTGCTTCACCCCCGCCTACACCTACTACGACTGGAGGGGACACTACCCCGCCCCCCACAAACTACCCTACGTCATCACCGGAAACAAACTCCTCAAATATTGATGCGCCGATAATTAATACGATTCAAAAAAAATCCTTTTTAAAAATCTGTATTCGATCGTTTTCTACTACTATATTTTGTTCGTTTTTCTCATTTCAAAATACATTGCGACTTTTTAAAAAAAAAGAAATACCAGGAAAAAGTTTGCATTTTCAGGCATATACAGTTTCAAGTGTGAATATTTTGATTTTTCTGAGCCGAATTAGAATTTTATCAGCTTTTTTCATATTGAGTTTCGTTTGGTTTCATTAAGTACCTTCAAAGTATGAGTTGTATCCACTTGCGTTGTCCTTGAAAAAAAATTGGTACGAGAGAATGGAAATAGTTTATCTGAGAAATCATCTAATTTTGAAAAATGTTTTTCCAGAATTGCCTACTCTAGTTTAAAAAACTGACGACAAAAACAGGTTTTTGCTCTCTAAAACACTTATCCTAGCTAACCCTCTGTGAATTGGCGTAAACTGAATTGGTATTTGTGAGAACGTTACTAAAATTGACTGTTTCATATTTTCGTGCAGTCTATAAATCATGGTGCGCATGAGAAAAATTGGCGTTATTAGACTCGATTTGAAAAGTTTGGGAGCAAAAACCTGAACTTACGTTTTATGACATTCACTGGGGTTTTTTAAAACAAAAAATTTATCTACATCTTTCACTTTGTGTCGTGCATATCCTCGTTTATTTGATATTTTCCGAATTTTCAACATTCTTCAAGTACTGAACTTTTTGTGCCATTTCACGGCTGATCATCCATTTAGCAGGGGAGAACATATTCTCACGACTGTTCCCCCATCATGCAGCCCTGCTCACAAGTGAGCATACGTAATTTTTTACAGACATGGTCGTACCTGAATCTTACAAGATCAGACAGAGTGAGACATGTTTATACTGCCGCAGACATGTTCATGCCTGCCGCAGACATGATAATGCCTGACTGAAAACTTGACAAATTCAGACTTGATGATGTCATCTCAGATCAAGCAATATGCTATATTTGCATTTAACTAACGTGTGCATTTTGTGCAGAGTTTGTTTAACGCTTGTTTTTGTTTCACCATTTAAGTAATCATTCGTTTTGCGTTATAATTCCTCCATTTGAGGGTCACCCTTTACGCTGGAGGAACGATGGAATTGGACTGGTGGTTCAAAAAACTGATAGAAACGGAGGAAATATAATTTAACAAACTTTTTTCGGTTTGATCAAATCATTTTATTCTTTTTTTGTTTTGATCAAATCATTTATTCCTTTTTATCCGTTTCAGATCATTGATTTAAAAATGAGTTTATCTAAGCTTACATCATCAAGTCAACCAGTGAATGAAGAAAACCATATTGCCGGATTGTCTTCACAAAAAACTCGCCAGGTTAGTTGGTGCGTACCCACGGAGCCGCATTCCCGGATAGCCGAAAAAACTAAGTATCTCCGCTTTGAACTATAGTAATTAAAGCAATTCGTCACAAAATTTGATTGGAACATAAAAGTCTTTCAATTTTTGCAGACCAGTAGCCACAATAATTGCGAACAAGTTAAAGAGATTTGATTGGTTGATACTATTAATCTCATTGAATCCATTAACAACAAAAATGCGACTTCTTTTTAACGCATGATTTTTACAAAATTTGATTGGAACATTCGTCACAAAATTTGGTTGGAACATAAAAAACTTTCAATTTTCGCAAACCAGTAGCCTCATTAACCCCCGCTAACAACGACTCCCTGCTTGCAATTAAAGAAAGAGGCATCTACCCACTACAGTACCTTTTCAACAAAAAACTTCACCAATATCTGAAAAAAAAACTAAAAACTTGAAGTAAAGTGTCACATTGTTAAGCTGAGTTTAAGATATTGCTGCAATTGAACCATTTCTTTAATTATCTTATAATACTGAAGATACCGATTTGAAGCCCTTTTTGTTCCACGTTTTGATTCTGTTTTCTAAAAAGAGTGTAGCAAAATCGACCAGCGGACATCAGAACAATTTAGATACTTTTCGTGAGTTCGTTTATGCCGGGTAAAAGTAATCAGTTCAGGCGTGTAAGCAGGTGTGAGCATGTTCCGATCAGGCATGATCATGTCTCCTGCTGATGTGAGCATATTCGGTTCAGGCATGGTCATATATCCTGCAGATGTGAGCATGTTTAGTTCAGGAATGATCATGTATCCTGCAGGTGTGAGCATGTTTAGTTCAGGCATGATCATGCATCCTGCAGGTGTGAGCATATCTTCAGTCAGCACACCTGCTGCAGGTCTGATGCAGGTATGTGCATGCCGAATATAGACATGCTGCACATCTGTTACAGACATGAATTTTGTATGATTTTACAATGATCAGATATGATTAGGGCCAAAAAGTTCGGTACGGGTTCATTAATCCGATCGCGCTTAAAATTCTTTGTTAATCTGATCTCACAGTTGTGAAACAATTAGTAGATTAAGAATAGCCGGGCCTTTATCATGCAACAGTTTTCACTTTTTGTCATGCATAACTTCGTTTGTTTGATATTTTCAAAATTTTCAACGTTCTTCATTCATCCGATTGCACTTAAATTTCTTTGTTAACCTGAGCTCACAGTTGTGAGACATTTAGTACATTAAGAAAAGCCGGATCCTCATCTTGATTCCATATCAAGAAACGCTTTTAAGAAAAAAATATGACCTACAAGCGATAATTTGGTTGATAGAAAACTTCAAATACTATTTCATGAAAAAGTATTTAAAAGTTTTTTTGACCATCATGCCTTTTTAAGTGCAATAAGCGCATCGAAAAAATCTAAAATTTTACAATCGAGGCTAGCCAGATGGGTTGATAGTTTATTACCATTCAATTACTTTATCCTACACCTAGCAGGATCAAACTGGGATTGACTGCCTATTTATTTAAAAACCCAGTCAGTCCGGTGGTATCAGCGACCAATTATGATGAAGAATTTTGTTTGTAGTTGCATAGATTACCGCGTCTATTTCAAAGCTAGAGATTTTGTACAAAGTAGTGCTAAGCTCGAATTAGTCAACAAAAACAGAGCAACAAAGAATTTGAATTCAATTCACAAGAGAAAGGAAGAATGCAAACAATTTGATTTAATCCTAAACTCGCAATCGAATCAGCTACCGTTCAAATTTGTCAGTTCAAACAAAACTTACAGTGCAACAAAATTATCTTCAATCAATGACAAAGAATTGTTTGAATACCAATCTTGAAAAACAGAAATTTTGAAACGAGGGAGAAAAAAACCCTGCTGAAAAAAAAACAAAAAAAAAGAAACAAAAAACAATGGAGACAAACAAACGTAAACAACGAAAACAGAAGAAGAGAAAATCGGAGGACAAAACTAGCTGAAAGAAAAACACAATATCTCACGTTCACTGTACGAATGCGCCAGAACTCGGGAAGTCGCACAAAAAATGGCACGTGAAATGGCCAGAGACATAGTAGCAAAGATAGAAAAACTGGAAAGATATCTGAAAAAAAAAAGAATCGAAACAACGAGTCAAAAAAACGTAACACACCAAAAAAACATAACAAAAATTCATCAAAGAATAACACAACAAACAAGACTGCTCGTATCAGGGCGAAGCCCTGAATGTTCCGACTGCCTTTTAAGTTTTATGGAGCAGTAATAACAAAAAAAAATGTAATAAAATAAAATGAATTTTTTTTTCTAGAATTTGAAAGTTTTTTTTTGAAAAAAAATCATCCCCCACATGTCATAATAAGTTCTAAGTGATATATTTTGCTCCTATTAACAAATCAATTATGGCAAATAAGCTTCCTTGAACCAATTTGGAACGATTTCTAAGATGGATTAAATCTCGCTTACGCGTTAATAGCGCGAAATATATCGCGCGTTAATTTTCCCAAATTGGCCAAAATGGCAATGTTTAAACCCCCATAACTTTCCAAAAAAATGATCACAGGTGAAATATCGTTTCAAATTTAAGCTCAGGAAAACAATATCTTTCGAATGATAGAAAAAAAATTCCGTTAAAAATGGCTAGTTAAAAAGTCGAAATTTGTCTGAAGAAAAAAAAACCCACCCCGAGCACAAATATTCCGTTACTTTCGTATCGAAAGTCGGAACAACAAGACAGATCGTATCAAGGCGAGACTCTGAATGTTCTGACTGCCTCTTAACGTCTATGGAGCAGTAATACCATGGAAAAATTAAATGAAATAAAACAAAATGAAAAAAAAATCCTAAATTTGCAATTTTTTATGCAAATCATCCCCCACACGCTATATAAAGTACAAAAGGATAGATATGGCTCCTTGTAACAAATCACTTATGGCAGTTAGGCTAATTTCAACCAATTTGGAACGATTTTTATCACGGATTAACTCTCCGCTTACACGTTAATAGCGCGAAATATATCGCGCGGTAATTGTCCCAAATTGGCCAAAATGCCAATCTTTAAACCCCCGTAACTTTATGAAAAACAATCACAGGTAAAATATCTTTTCAAATTTGAGCTCAGGACAACAATACTTTTCGAATGATAAAAAAAAATTCCGTCAAAGATGGCTAGTTAGAAAGTCGAAATTTGTCTGAAGAAAAAAAACCCACCCCCGAGCCCAAATATTCCGTTACTTTCGTATCGAAAGTCGGAACAACCAGACTGCTCGTATCAGGGCGAAGCCCTGAATGTTCCAACTGCCTATTAAGATTTATGGAGCAGTAAAAACATTACAAAATTAAAAGTAATAAAACAAAATGAAAATTTAAAATTTTTTCAATAAAAATCATCCCCCCACACGCCATATATAATGTACAAAAGGATAGATTTCGCCATTTGTAACAAATCAATTATGGCAAATAAGCTTTGTTAAACCAATTTGGAACGATTTCTAAGACGGATTAACTCTTCTCCGCTTGCGCGTTAATCGCGCGAAATATATCTCTCGTTAATTGTCCCAAATTGGCCAAAATGGCAATCTTTAAACCCCCATAAATTTACGAAAAATTATCACAGGTGAAATATTTTTTCAAATTTGAGCTCAATACAACAATACCTTTTGAATGATGTAAAA